CTAACGGATGAAAGCCTCAACGCTTGCATGAAGCTTAACCTCACCAACTGCCAACCAGACTACAAAGCCATCAGTGAGTATATGCAGCCCCAGAAGTCGCATTAACTATGAGTATTATAAGAACATTATTTAAAAGAATAAATCCAGAGGCTTTTTATACTCACATTTAATTGAATTTAATCTTAAGATATATGATATGGCTGTCGCTGAAATATAGTTCCAAATATTTGCTTTCATGGCTCTCTGAGTCAAAAGGTTGCCAACTCCTGCTATTGACCATAGATGATTGTAATGGTAATGGCATCGGGGTTTTGAGTCTCGTGATTTGCTGTATGATCCGATCCCGAATGTATTCATAATTGTTGCTATCACCTCTGATACGTTCGTTACCACCACCGCCACGCACCACCACAAAGACCAAAACACCACCCTAGCTCTAACTTTACATCTGGACGCAACAGCTTCCGAACGAACCGAAACATTATTTGAAAGGTGTTGATTTTAACTTCTCTGAGAAAAGTATTGTGAACGCGGATTAAACACGCCTATTTGAGCGTTAAGTTACTTTGCATGACAGTTGATTGAATTAGTTGATGGTGTGCTGTTAGCGGCACAGCTAGCTCACTGTGTAATACTCATTCAACTAAAACCAGGCTGCCATACGCGGGTTTCATGAGATATCATATTGACGAAACGCAGGCTCCATGTCAAAATATGTGGGAATTTGTAACCTCAGAAAGCATGGAAGCATGGCCTTCATTTGTCCAGTCTATGCACCCTGTTTCTTTATCTCAAACTGTCGTAGTGAAACATAAGCTGAGAAAATGCACCCCTGCGTTCATCTGGGCCCAATTTTTCTTGCGCTGTGTGCGAGCATGTTGTTGTTGGTATCTACGGTCGATGTAGTACAGACATTAGCCAATGAAAGCGCCCGATCAATTGGAGGCGCTAAAGATGAGATACATATAATGGCAGAAAGTCGGAGCAACTGTGCTCCATTAATCCGAAGAGGATGAGAAGCGTTGCAACCTGCTCTCAGGTCTTATGTCTGGCACTCCTGGTCTTTCCTGCTCAACTGTATGTGTCACGTCCCTTGTCTATGCTCACTCTGTTAGCAGCACCTGTTTTCTTATCATTACTTAAGACCATCTGCTCTGAAATTTCCTTGTTAAAGGGTTTGGATTTTAGAAGAAAATGACTGTGTGTAGATGGTTTTAACTCTGCCTTTCGTTAACATCTACTTTTGTAGGATTGACGAACGTATAGTATGGCAATTCCTGCATGTAACAGGCCAAAGTTTGTAAAAGTTTGATTATTTCTCGCATACTGGCGTGAACGCATTTACGAAAACTTGGAAGTAATAATGAACAGAATTAGGCACATTAAGAACTTAAAAGAAGTATAAGGATTCCTAAATGTTTGTTAAGAAAAATAAAAATTACTTGATAATCCCGATTTTCCGGAGACGTAAAAAAAGCTATAAATTAAAGCAATAAATTTAACTATTTTCTTAAGTTGAAAACTTAAGGTAATCACATTCTTCATGTAAAAATCCCTTTTCTTTTTTCATATTTTTTCTACAGATTAACATTAATGGATCACTATTTATTTAATATCGTCCTTTAAATTCTGACACAATTTCCAGCGTTTTTGATGTCTTCATGTGTCCATCTATTAATTGAGTTTCTGTGTGACATTTACATCAAAACCTTTAAAATAAGATATACATCCAGAGCATTTACCGCAAGAATGAGTTTTTGGATATTAGCTCTTAGGAAGATGGCCGTGTAGATCATACTTAGATATGCCTCAAAACAGCAATCCACATTGTCGAGCATAAAGAACGTCGGCAAGATACCTCTGATACTGTTATCCTTAAGATTAATAAAAAAAATTCTATGATAGGTTAGCTCTTTAAAAAGTGCTTTAAATGGATATTCGGCTGACGAATTTCTATATATATTACCGTTTTCCAAGGTAATTTTAACATAAAATTGGAGACTTTTGACAATTTTTTTATTTACCTGAAGATAAAGGATTCAATTTGACTGGACATGAAAGAACTTACTTTCCTATGTATAATGTATTATTTTTCGTCATAATGGATCACTTCTATGATCTTTTATAAGCTTGCGAATGCAGAAAACTGGCCATACATGGAAATTTTTGAAATCATTGTTATATATCCTTTTCGTTTCTTAATAACGCATAAGCGGAAGTTATAGTTTATAATAAAGCCTGTTTGCTCGTGACTTACATTTAATAAGGCCTATTTTACATTACCTTCACGGTACCATACATAGACACATAGCTTATTCGCCATGTAGGCGATGCTGTAAGCAAACATGTGACCAAAACCTTTTTTACTGCGCTTTTTGTGTAAAAAACTTCACAGGTTAGCTAAACATAATTTTTTTTATACATAATCGTTTCTTTTTTCTGAACTTGGCCTCATTTGCATCTGATCAATTTCGGATAAAGTTTTCCAGTTCTGGAAGGGATATGTTTAACATTTTTTTTACCTATTTTGAGTTATTCCATAGCACAATGCATATTCATCAAAAGTTTGGTTCTGTCATACGTAATAGTATAGGAAATTCCTTCGATATTGGCGGACTCTCAATTTCGCCAAAATTAATGCACATCACCCTTAGTAAAGATAACTAAAAAGGCTATTTTCCTAACTAAAAGATATTCGCAGGATTAAATCTACTCAGAGGATCGAAATAACGTGACCAAATATACGCCAAACTACTACTTTAGATTTCTTCATGAAAGTTGCATGCAGGACTCGCCATACTGTATATGCCTGTGTCCTTTAAGTAAACAGAAACTGCTGCAAGTTATGCTATTTATTTCGACGTCAAATTTTTGGTTTACAGGCAAGCTTTTGGAATTTGTGACTGGGATGAGAGAACATTCATGGCAGAGAAGGATCAAATTACCTTCCGCACCGCCGTCCCCGATGACTATAGAGTGAGAGGTTCATTTCCAACAATTATCTTTGCCTCTGTCCACCCGCAACATTAAATTTTACACTTCTGCTATTTTACCAGGACGGATACATTGGCAAAAATGCGTTTTGGTACGACGAAGACTTGGGCGACTGCGTGCTTGGTAGTACAGCATTTTTATGTCCGATGGATGAGGGTATGTTGCCCGAAAGACATGTGAATTATGTTAAAGCCTACTACTGATGTACATTTTACATAAGGTGCCATAACAATGACTATTTACCTTCCCCACCATGTCTCACAGTTGAGGGCATAACGGTCACAGATATAACGGTGTTCAATGTTACAAACGTCGACAGCATATACCTTAACAGCAGCTTCCCCGTGACAATTCATCGGATCGAAGAATACGTTCGGGACAAGAAAGTCGAAGGTGTGTCAGTCAGTAAGGTTATATCAACCTCTGACATTTCAGATCGGTTCATTATTGAGGAAACAATGGGTTTGTCCCAGTGTCCCAAGTATAAACAAACAAGATTGGTTTGGAAATTCCCCGGGACCGTGGCGCAAAGGGCTGCTGTAAGTGGCTCTTTACTTGCTTGAACAAAGCGAACTCTCTAAGCCAATTAAATAGGCAGCATAAATAAACATCCTGTTTCTTCATCTCCAATTCCCCTAGTTTGAATGCTTCCAGGGGAGAAGGAAACTGTGCAGAGGAGTCACAACAACGAATGAGGTTGCCAAATGTGGTGAGTCGGAGTATTTTCAACGCAAATAAGGTTCAAATGTGTACATTAAATGTCGGTTTATGCCTATAGACCTCAAATAAACTAGTCTGCATCAAGCACATAAATTAATTTCTTAAAAAGCAGAATTTTCAAAAAGGTATATTAATCAGAAGGCAGCAGAAGAAACTGTGAGACCCCCTGCAGCTGTATAAAGTAGCGACAGAATACCGGCAAAACGTGAGGCAAGGCTAATTATCTAGTACCTGGGCTGTTAGTATGGTGAGTTACAACATAAATACATCCTACTACAGTACGCGCCAGAATTCGTGCAATATGCCGACATATGCGGAGATTGATACTCTTTCGCTAATCGGCATTGACTCAGGTTGTGATACTGATT